TGACCACCTGATCAGAAGCATGCCTAGGCGCGTTGGAGAATGCGTAGCACATCAGGGTGCATCCACACATTATTAAAGGTCAAATGGCTGTAAAGCAGTGCAATCGTTTTGAATTTTTTATCATTTACTTATTATGCTTCATTAAGTACTTATACAAAATTTTATTAAAATAAAACCATTTAAACTGGGTGTTCGGATTTATATGTCACTTGGTATATATCACGAAGAACCATGTCACTCTTTTCCGTCGGTCTGTTTGTCTGTCGGCTGATTCTATAACCGCCTATAACTTGAAAAGTGCTGCTCGAATTTTGATGAAACTTTTACACAAGGTTACTACTATGCCAAGGATGAAAAAGTTCTTTAGTTTTTGAAAATCGGTCTAGTGGTGGGGCAGCTAGGTACAGAAACACGAAAAAATGTAACCTCTTTAGAATTAGTTTATATTAGTAGATGTATCATGCGCCTATAATTCGAAATAACTTGCAATGCGTAACAAACTCCAACTGAGCTGCGGTGGTGTCGTCGCTGACACAGTCTGCTTGACGCCATTTTATTGTCATTATCATATAATAAGCAAATTTCACAAGCATGCGAGTCAAATGACAATTCAAAGTTACGATACGCGATCGGAAGTTATTAAAAACAATGTTCTAAGACACGGTAACAACTAGTAACAAAATGTCCTTGCAATTCAAAAAATCTAATCTAATTATCGTAGATTCGTAATTGAGCCCTCTCATTACACAACTTCTATTATTTTTTGTACTACACATCAATAAACGGAACTATCTCAGCGATGGGAATCTAAAAAAAAAAAAAACAGAGCTGTAAACCAACGGACGCCTTCATATACATTGTTACGTAAACCTCACGACTGGAACATAAATTGTGATTCACAATGCACTCGATGAAGGCCTATTTTGTCAGCTATTTATCGTTTTTATCTTGGTTAAATGGTCGCGCACAAAAGAGTTTTTGTATGGCATGGGATGCCAATTTGTCTAGATCAAATGGAAACATGCGCATATATTTGAGCAGCGATATTGTTTGTAACTAAATATAGAATGCCTTGGAAACAATTGTTTAGCATTGCAAATCGTATAAAATCTAGGGTTCGTTTTCTGACCCATCATTGATATCTCTAGGTGCCGATACAAAGCTATTATAGCTGTTACAATAAATAAAGAGTAACATACAGGGCGAGTTTACAGTTATTTTTAGCAACAAAGTTTAGTCAAGTCAATCGCAAACTATGTATTGAATTCCTATTTAAAATAAGTACGAGATATTTCCTTATCTTTCTTCAAGAAATAACTTTTTTACCACAAAAAACGCTCCAATAGCTATTTTCAACAACAAAATGATAAACAAACCATGGGCGTAGTGAAGAAAAGCATTTACTTATTAAGTAAATTCTTTTAATCAAATTTCTTCTGAAATTAGTACAAACTAATCTAATATACCTATTAAAGTCTACTTTAAGCTTTAAATCAATAAATCTTCAAAACTACTGAACTGAAGTTCATGTATTTTACATCACTATAAAGGGAATTGAAAGACCTTGAAAATAAGGTATCACTCGACCGCCCTTTCCATTTAAGATATTAGGGTTGGTGTCACCCCCGCCCAGGGGGTTGCACTTGTTAACGTGATTTTTTTCCAAACTTGTGTCCCCCTCGAAAACAAAATCGACGGGTCTGAACGTTTTTTCAAAAAAAAAACTGAGCTACCAGTAAATGCGTCTGTTTCGTTTTCGATGCGCCACCCTGTATAACAGTTCCTTGAGTGCCAGGTGTCAAAGTTCGGTGTTTTATTTGATAGATTATCAAATATCTAAATAATTTGGAAATGGAACCCTACAGTATGTCATATAAAATTGCTTCATTTTTGAAAGTATTTATCCAAATCTGCAATAAAATACTTTCTCTTTAAAAAACGCATCTTTGGGTCACCACATAACTATGATTCACCCTGTAGAGATAAACATATTTTCTAAGTAAGTTATTAGTATTTTGGATAAAATGCATAATAATGTATTTATATTAAATTATTAGACTGCGGCTAGACTTTTTGTAGCCTATTATAATAATTATAATGACTACATTTCCATAAATGCATGATGGGATTAAGCTTTCTTTGTAATAAGGCACATTAAGAAGTTGTTGCATCACAGTCTTACGTTTAATTGCTTAATTTAGACATTTAGCTAAGCAAGTAAAAGCATTGTTTATTGTTTCTCTAATTCTTGATGAAATCATTTATGCTTCAGATGATTGTTAGTTAGGTGTATGATTTTTTAATATATGAATAGGATGTTTATCTGTTAAACACATCGTTTAGAGATGAATTCGTGAAAGGAACATTTCTATTATGCCATATTTGTTATGAAGCAGCTTTCTATGATTGTTAGCAGAGTGATAAAAGCTCAATTTATTATTGGAAATTAAATTTTACAAAGAAATGATTCCGATAAGGGTGAAGTACGATTTTATATTTCCCACGACAGTATTGCAGTTTTGAAAAATGTCGATACTGTCTTTCGGATCTTACATGACGTGTATATCACAAAAACCATGTCACTCAGTTCAGTTGGTCTGTATGTCTTCCTGTCTGTCCCCTAATCCTTAAGCCCTCTAAAACTTGCAAAGAAAGAAAAAAAGAAAGGATGATACTACTATACCAAGTCGAGAAATGTTTGTAAAAAAGTTTATATATATTCTCATGGAATGTTTGCAAACCTTTTGGCAGTAGAGATCTAAAAAATTATTTATTTCTATGAAGTGACATATAAATCCGAACACCCAGTTTAAATGGTTTTATTTTAATAAAAGTTGGTGAATGTATTTATCTTACTGTAAATAACAAGTGAAAAAATGTTCAGCCTTATCAGTTGGACATTCCGGTTTTTATACTGCTTTTTTTTAATTCACTAACGCTCAAAAAATGAATATTTCAGCCGCAGTAAAGAATCAACGTTGGCGGATTTTGGTTCTTGACATCCTTTACGATCGGTTACGATGCCTAGGGTATGGAGACCTGTACGATTTCGTCAACTTAGTGAGTTTGATAGGGGTCGTATAGTGGGACTTCGGAAAGCTGGACTTTCTTTTCGGGCAATTGCAGTTAGAGTGCAAATAAGTGTAGACACTGTGGTTAGGTGTTGTCAGGCATGGCTTCGAGAAGGCCGTACGCAAAGAGCAAGGGGCACTGGACGCCGCCGTAGAACAACAGACCGTGAAGATCGCCGCCTAAGATTATTGGCCTTAAGGGACCGTTTCTCCACTACCAGGTCCATTGCAAATGAATGGTTTGCAGAACACGGAAGACCTATTGGCATGCGAAGTGTTTACCGACGAATGAGAAGTTTTGGCTTGTTTTCATACCGGCCACACTGGGTCCTCCCTTTAACTCGAGAACACCGACGTAATCGCTTTGAGTGGTGCAGACAACGGTCACTCTGGGATCAGGAATGGAACAGTATTGTCTTTACTGACGAGTCTCGATTTTATTTAGGCATGCACGATGGTCGTGCCAGGGTTAGAAGGCGATGTGGTGAAAGGAGGAATCCACAGTTTTTTGTTGAAAGACATGTTCATCACACTGTTGGAGTTATGGTTTGGGGTACTATAGCTTATGGTTCCAGGTCACCTTTAATCTTCATTGGAGGTAACATGAACGCGCAGCGTTATATCCACGAAGTTCTAGAACCCCATCTTTTACCCTATCTTGACACCCTGGCAGATCCAACTTTCCAACAAGATAATGCCCGACCACATGTTGCAAGAGTCACAATAGACTTCTTTCAACATAATGATGTCACATTGTTACCATGCCACCAAGATCTCCCGACTTATCCCCAGTTGAGCACGTGTGGGATATGATGGGTAGGAGATTGCTCAATTTGCAACGTCCTCCTCAGACTCTAGAAGCACTTCGAGAGGAGTTGGTGGTTGCCTGGAATGAGATACCACAGGAGGACATTGACCACCTGATCAGAAGCATGCCTAGGCGCGTTGGAGAATGCGTAGCACATCAGGGTGCATCCACACATTATTAAAGGTCAAAGGGCTTTAAAGCAGTGCAATCATTTTGAAATTTTTATCATTTACTTATTATGCTTCATTAAGTATTTATACAAAATTTTATTAAAATAAAACCATTTAAACTGGGTGTTCGGATTTATATGTCACTTAGTATATAATGAAGTAATTTTTATTCTTCTCGAAAACGAAGCAAAGTACGACGATGTACCAACAGAAAAAAGGAGTTGTATCATTAATCCGAAGAAAAATATATTTTTATAAATATCAGTGACGTACACTTTTCTGAAAATATTATTCAAAAGACTGAAACACCACTGGAATTCGTAATTATCTTCTATTTAGTGTTATTGCCTCGATGCAATGAACATCACAAAATCGGCATAAAAATATTTGAGATATTAATAAAATAACAACTTTTTTAAACTTCGACTAGGATATTTAGAACATTTTTCTACTTAAATTTCGTTCAGCAATGAAATTTAATTACGGACTATCATTATCACATGATACGAAAAAATAGTTATTTATCTATCAAGAGCGCAAAATACTGCTTTGTCGCTCATAAGACACGTTCAATCGGTGCAAAGCTGTCATTTGCGATCCGACCTTAGAAAATGTTGTATTTGCAATTCAATCCGCTAGCAGCGGTACGTACTTGTCAGTCAAATACCATTTTCTCAAAACTTTGACCAGAACATTTAGAACATATGTTAATATGGACTTTTCTACTTGAATTCCGTTCACTCAGTACACTATTTTTTATATTTTGCATACTCAACTTCACCGAGAGATCACACGATACGAAAAAATGGTTGCTTATGTAACAATAGCGCGAAGTACTGCATTGTCGCTCGAAAGACACGTCCAATACGCGATTAGAAAACTTTATCTTTGCGTTCTTGTCAGTCAGTCGCAGAAAAAACCACCACATCGTCACAAACAAAAGCAACTCACCCCGGTGTATCCTTCCCGTTGAAGACAAACGCCTGGCGACTGGCACACTCTGTTTCTGTCGCGATTTAGCCGCGATTGGGAGTACCGTTATTGCCGGCGGAAGATTTCCGCGATTGAGACCGTCGTGCCGGTTTGGTTTGGTGGTACCTTGCGGTCAGTACGATGACGACCAAGCGAAATTCCTGCACGAGAAAGCGGCGGTTGGATGATGAGAGGCAGTATGACTGACAGAGTGATGGCCGGCATTAGGCGTATATAGCCAACCTACATCCCCACGACGGCTAACCTACATTGGGGATCGTGTATGGGGGCTTCGAGCTTCGACGGCCGAGCTTCTGAAGACTCGCACGTTGCGCGTCGACGGTAACGTGACGTGGTTGCGATGCGAAGTATCAGAAAATTCAAACTGATTTGAAAGGACCTCGCAAAAAATTTATAGAAAATTCAGTATCATATATTTATCACCTTCTTGAACAAAAGTTCTTGTGGGATCAAAGTAAACCGATGATTAGTTTCTGAGAGATAGAGGGATGAAGCTGGCCGATTTGTAAAAAATAAACCAGCCAAGTGCAGCATATACCGCATGTAGACTTTTATAAAATAGTTGACGCCCTTATAAACAGATATCCTCCAATTATTATTTATGGAACATGCTAATGCAGCATTAGTGCTTCAGCAGTTAGCATCTGTCTAAGGAACAAACGTCAGTCTAGCGTTAGATGAAGTATAAGGTACCTACTAGAGGAATTTACATACGTTTCAAAATGTATCGACTATGGTTATCTTTTCGAAACCTTATGGAAATAACGAGTATTTATCTGATGGATTATGCGATATTAATGGGCATTAACTGCAATAATGTAAATCTGACGCTCAAACCCCTAGGATCATATAGTTTTTTAGTGCTCTCTCTTGATAATTTTGTAAATTTGCAATTTTGGTAGTAAATTTTGTAATTTTTATATATGTAAAATTTTTGTAAATTCTGTATTTTGTAATTCGTAAATTTTTGTAAATTGTTGTAAATTTTGTAAATTTTTGTAATTTTGTAAATTGTTAATTTTGATAATTTTGTAAATTTTGTAATTTTTGGTAAATTTTGTAAATTTTGTCCAGTTTGGTAAATTTTGTAAATTTTGTAAATTTTTAAATTTTGTCCATTATTGTCAATTTGTAACTTTTGTAATTTTGTAAATTTTGTAAATTTTGGTAATTTTTGTAAATTTTGTAATTTTGTAAATTTTGTAAATTTTGTAAATTTTGTAAATTTTGTTTGCTTTTGTAATTTTGTAACTTTTGTAAATTTTGTAAATTTTGTTTGGTAACTATTTTGTACAATTTTGAAGTATTTTTTTAATTTGTCGATTTGGACAGTGTTGTAAATTTTGAGTTTCCAACACGTTTTGAAATTTTTGAAACTTCGAGTTTTGCATTGCCAATTATGAAAATTGGACTATTTTTGACAATTCCAAAATCTTGAAAACTAGAATTTTTTCCAAATTTCTTTTGATAAATTGGAAAATTTGGATTTTTTTTCCAATCTGTAAATTTGCTGTTTGACAATTTTGGACATTCTGCTAATTCTTGTAAATCTTCGAAATTCTGGAAGTTTAGGAAATTTTGGAAATTTTTGTAACTTTTTGAGATTAGGGAATTACGAGAATTTTTGAAAATCCTGCAAAATTTAAAATTTTAGACATTTTTGAAAATTTTGGTAATTTCTAAAATTCCGAAACTTCTGAAAATCTCGTTAATTTTGAAATCTTGGGCAGTTTTAAAAATTATGAAAATTCTCAAAATTTGGAGATTTTGAAAATCCTGCAAACTGGAAATTTGAAAATTTTTTAAAATCGTGAAATTAAAAATTTTTAAATTAAGATTTTTGAAAATCTTGGAAGGCTCGATTATTTTAAAGATCTTGAAAGTTTTGAAAATCTGAAAATTTGAATATTCGAAAAATCCTGAAAGCTGAAAATTTTTAAATTCGATATTTGGAAAATTTCGGAATCTTCTGAATTTGGAAAAATAAAAAATACTTATTTTCAAGTCGTTCTGTCAAAACGGCTTCATTCGCACTGCTTTGGATGTATCAATGATGAACCTGAAAATCTACGTCTTTTAATGTTTTGGAGGACCTGAGTCGCTTCTTGCAGTCACAATGTATAGTTTAAAGATAAATTCTGCTAAGTAATTTAATTTTTCACCGTTACTTACAGAAAGTGTATTCTGTTAATTAGAAAAACGGTAAAAACGATAAAACGATGCGTATTTGCGAACGATAGTGATTCTTCTGACCGCAGGCGAGTGTCCATATTTTTGCATAAATCAACGTTGAATCACCAGCGGACAACTTTACCTCACACACATATACAGATGTACGGACTATGAAAAGTAATTTCACTCACGCAAACTATTTGTTGTTACAGCTCCTCAATTCTGAAACCATTCATTTCGTATTATAAATATATTAATTTAGTACTAGTGAATATTGACCTTTCAAATGCCATAAATATGTTTACCTGCACTAGTACGCAGTCAGTCATCATACTTAGTATAAATGGCAACACTGGCTTGGTGATACCTGCTAATGAAGATATTCGACTTTACTTTCTATACGCCGATTTGGCAAACAACAGTATTTTCAAAAACTAATTTATTCTACGAACATTATATTATATTTACTTTATATTTATTATTTTATTTATTTTGTATATATATATAGGTGAAAAATTAAAGCTTCCGCCTTTTGTTGGGTACTTCGACAAAATTTAAGCAAAGAGGACTCTTTATACTTTTTTTAATTCTCTCTAGCTTTCAATGGACTTTGCCATCATCATCAGGAGCTGCAATTACAATGATAACAGTAGCAACAAAAGTGTAAAATGAATTTAAATTGACTCAACTTACAGTAGTATGAGAGGATGTTGCTAATTGTTGTTTACGTATAGGATGAGAGAAACGTCCAGTAACATGGTGAGAGCTGGATACATGGTACAATGGTCAAAATTATATAAAATATGACAAGACAAGTTAAAAACAGATTAAAAATTATTTAAAAAACATTAGAGCATTACGTCGTGAAGCCACTTGATGATTGCGCAAAATGGTGGTCATGGAATAATGAGTGAGATGAACCTTTGACAGAAGGCTGAAGGTTGTCAATGTCTGTGTTGAAAGAAGGAACGAATTGTGGGCGTGTGCCAAACGTTGCCAAATCACTTCAGATGATGTGATTTTCAGAATGTTATGTAAGAAATTGTTAAACCGACCAGAGGCAGTTGAATAAACTATATTTTAATTAATGGGAATTTTAAATTAACAATTATTAATAAATCGTGAGAAGAGAATTATTAGATTTTGAGTGGAATGAAATTTGTTGGTGGAATCGGCCAAAACACAGATTATATTTATGGTTGTGAAAAGTCGAAATTTGGGGAGATATGTAAGTTCTCCAATTTTTCGCAGTTTAGCAAATATGTGTAAATGACACTCAGTTGTTTAACATCTGTATAACAACTGTATCAACAAAAAGACAGATGTTAAACAACTGAGTGTCATTTACTCATATTTGCTAAACTGCGAAAAATTGGAGAACTTACATATCTCCCCAAATTTCAACTCTTCACAACCATAATTAGAATCTGTGTTTTGGCCGATTCCACCAGTAAATTTCATTCCACTCAAAATATAATAACTCTCTCCTCACGATTTATTAATAATTGTTAATATAAATTCCCATTAATAATAATATAGTTTATTCAACTGCCTCTGGTCGGTTTAACAAATTCTAACATAAAATTCTGAAAATCTCATCATCTGAAGTGATTTGGCAACGTTTGGCACACGCCCACAATTCGTTCCATCTTTCAACACTGACATTGACATCCTTCGTCCTTCTGTCAAAGGGTTTCATGTCACTCATTATTCCATGACCACTAATTTGTGCAATCATCAAGTGGCTTCACGATGTAATGCTCTAATGTTTTTTTAAATAATTTTTAATCTGTTTTTAACTTGTTCTTGTCATATTTTATAAATTTTGACCATTGTACAATCTATCCAGCTCTCACCATGTTACTGGACGTTTCCCTCATCCTATACGTAAACAACAATTAGCAACATCCTCACATACTACTGTAAGTTGAGTGAATTTAAATTCATTTTACACCTTTGTTGCTACTGTTATCATTGTAATTGCAGCTCCTGATGATGATGGCAAAGTCCATTGAAAGCTAGAGAGAATTAAAAAAAGTATAAAGAGTCCTCTTTGCTTAAATTTTGTCGAAGTACCCAACAAAAGGCGGAAGCTTTAATTTTTCACCTATATATATATATATATATATATATAAAACATAACATGGTTCAGTGTCGTATCGACAGTCGTTCGTACAATTGTAGAACGTTTTTATGGCCTCCTTGATTTTCATAGTTTTCTACTGTTCTGTGTCAGCGCTCTACTTTGAGGTTATGTTACAAATATCTATTTACATCAAATTGTTCATGTTTTTGATTTATATCATCTATTACATCAGCCTGAAATTTCTTGGAAATCAAAAAGAAAACATAGCCTCATAATAGGAGAGGACTGACGCTGACACAGAACAGTGGAAATCTAGATATACTCCAGCATTTCTAAAGGAGAGAAAGGACTATGAGAATCAAGGAGGCCATAAAGGCGTCCTACAATTGTAGGCGACGATACGGCCCCAAGTCCTTCATAGAACTGTTTTGACATTGAGCGAGCCTACTAATCTGTGGTCTGTATACTTTGCGAGCTCCTCGTTTACAAGGTAGGCATTCACCTTAAAAATCAGGTTACTCGTTCGAAGATCGAACTGCAGATAAATTATTCTGAGATCGCTTCTCGTTCTCGGTCCGCGATCCGAAAGTATAACGATTGGCTTATTTTTTTTTCATGAAGCATCGATGTCGAAATCATGAAAACAAAACAACATCGACATCCCAAGAGCTGGCAATGTATAACCCTAGTGATTTTGCTGCAGACCAAAAGTTGCAGAGACCTGCGCTTACATATTTTGCGTCCGTCCACCCGTTTAGTATTTTAGTGTAAAGGTAAGTAAAAATTCCAGAAAAGTGTAAAATATGATGGACTTTATTTTTCAACATGGCGACCTTGAGAGCTGTCATAGTTGAGCGAGTTTGTACTTGATTAATCACCAAAATAGTATATTACGTTTATATCAATCGACTTCCTTTGAAACGGTCTATCAGTATATGCAATAAAACATTTGAGATTCTTAAAGCGTTGTTTTCCTGCAGAAGGTATATAGCTTTTT